AAGTATTATGAATTCTGTGGGAGATTACGCCAGGCGATGGGCCAAACACGAATAAGATCTTGACACTTTCTCAGAATGGATTAAGAGCATCAGATGGATGTTGGAATCTCACATTAAGCGATTGAGGGGTTGTATGAAAACTATTTATCCTTCTGTCTTTAATAATTAAGAAGTAAAAAAGGAATTAAATAGATTACACATTAACCAGTATGTACTGGTTCAGCTGACAAAGCTAGTAACAACGTAGTCTTTGTTTGTAAGGCTCACTATTTGAATTGTATTTTAGAGGAACTAGGATTTAATTACACAGGTGGAAATCCAACTTACACCCATACCTCCCTTTCTAAGGAGGAAATTCTTCAAAAGCATATGTCTGTTTAAGATACTTTCAATATTCCCAACAATCAAAATGAATTTGAATTCCATACCTTTACCGGATTCCCAAATTTCATAAAAATCCTTACAAACAAAGAAATATAGCGGGCTCCAGTAAATGCTCAACCAAGCCTCTTTCTTTACTCCTCACTAAAATATTTACTATAATGAAGGAGAAACTTCAGGAGTACTGTACAACAGTATATTCGAGAAGTGGTGTAAATCAGATGTGGATACTTAAAAACTCCAAAGAACTTTTGGAAAATTTGAAATCACAAAATTTTACTAAAATCAATAGCATCAAAACGTACGATTTTTCAACACTTTATACAACCATTCCCCACGATAAATTGAAGTCCAGGCTTTTTGACATCATAGACAGCTGCTTTTTCAATAAAAATGGAACTCGTAAATATACTTATCTTGTCATTGGTCATTTACAGAATTATTTTGTTAAAAAGCACTCTGATTGTACACACAAGTACACTGAAGTTGATATTAAAAGATGCTTGAGTTTTTGATTGACAACATCTATGTACCGGGATACATCGTATCGACATAAGAATGGAAATAATCATTGTTTATTGACAATACGTCGTCGATATATCTAAATGTCGAGTTGAAGGCCACAGCAAGAGTTCTCTTCTTTTCACCGTGACACGTATAAGATTTTGAACAAATTCTGCTTCATATGAATAAAAAAAATAGAACTGCTAATAACGGGACGTAATTGGTGCCCATGGGAGTTCCAATAGATTGTTGGAAGACCTGGTCTCCAAAAACCACATAGATATTGTCAATTAGAAACACAAGCATTTTTTTAATACCAGCTTTGAAGTACTTGTGTGTACAATCAGAATGTTTTTAACAAAATAATTTTGCAAATGAACAAAGGAATTAAGTGGAAATCTGCAGTAAATGACACAATTTGAAGTAGATTATGAAATTCTTAACATTATATTAGACCAAGATAAAGTAATTAAACTTTTATTTGCATGTATTTTCCCGATGTTAGTAGAATCATTGATTTCTGTTCACTTGTCCTTCATTGTCTCTGAACATTTTCCTGGAGAAATACGGCAGGTACCCTATGTTGAAAATGAACTAGATAAACTCAGTATGTACAACTTTATAATTTATATAATACAATTTTCTCAAAGTCAAAAAACTTTTTTTCATTAATGTTTAGAGCTTCCTTAAATTAAGTTCGCAGCAGGCCCATGCTTCGATAAATTTTGAGCGGTCCTTCATACAGGCTTTATAACTATTAAAAAAGGACTTGACTTTGCCAATATAATTTACCCTGTATATATACCGTGTGAAATTTCTATTGAAGTAATCAAAAGCTTTACAATAATCGACAAAACAACAGTACAATCTCTGCTGTTCTTCTTAATATCTTGTTTATAATGAGTGTCTGTAATACAAAAATTACATCAACAGGCCTGGTACCAGTTTAACCCCAAATTGTCTGTAAAATAATACTGTTAACAGTATAACAATGGTTATTTCCATTCTTATGTCGATTTGATATTTCCCAGTGAGCTTGAAATAAAAGATACCACAGTCTGACACAGCTGTTTCATATTTGGATATTTTACTGGAAAAAGACGTTAATGGTAATCTAACAACCAAGCTTTATGATAAACGTGATGACTTTAACTTTTCAATCGTCAACCTTCCCTTACTTATGCAGCAATATACCTTCATCACTTGCATACGGGGTTTATATCTCTCTGTTGATTCGATACGCAAGAGCATGCTCTACATATGAACAATCGATACAATGACCTTGTCAGCAAATACAATTTATCAATAAGTCAAATACTGACTGACGTTTTTCATACTAATTGTTAGGTAATTATTTACACACTGAATTGTCGACGGATTTTTCCGTTATTTCCAGATCATGACAAGGAGCACACGGCAGGTGTGAACGGTCGGCAAGGGATGTTCACTCCTCCATGGCACCTGATCCCACCTCTGATGTTTGAGAGGTCCGTGTTTGCTTTGCTCCAAAATTTGTATTGTTTAATGGACTTTTGAGCTTGAATACTGTTCGTTACCTCCATTGTACTAGTACTAGTGTTATTCAATGCCTGTTATTCTGAAAAATTAATTTGTATGATGCCTTTTGAAATTCATTGCATTATGAGTAAGAAAAAATATCCTTTTATGGTGCTTTGATAAATAAATTACATTCTACTCATTTAATAGGTGGCAGATCCAGAAATTTCAGAACGGAGGAGAGAGAGAGGGGGATTCTAGAATGGTTTTTTGACAAATCAAAAACCGAAAATCGCCCATCCTTGAAATACCTATTTGTGGGGAGGGGGTACAGGAGATCCGGCCTTTTTCAACATATGAGAAGAAGTCTTCTGTTGGTGGCCTTTAATTCTATGTAATGGGATACATCCATGACGTTTTATCAATTTACAATAATTACATTAAGTCGAATTCATACTGAAATAGTTCGATATATCCTACTGAACTCGAATAAAAAACACAAGGGTACCGGATTATGATACAACTGCTTCTTATTTCTTCATATTATGATATTCTATTAGAGAAGGACATGAATACCAGACTAAGAACTAAACTTTATGTTAAACATGATGAATTCAGTTTTTTCATATGACGCAGAATTTATTCAAAAAACTTCTACATGAAAAGAAGAAGTCTCTTGCTCTGACCTTCAATTCGACGTTGAGATATATATATCGACGACATTTTATCAATTAACAATATTTATATTCATTCATACGCTGATTGGATATATATCCCTTTGAACTAAGTAAGAGACAACCCATGAGTTTGACATATGCTTTTAAATTCTATATATTTTACTAGAGAAAGACGTTAATGGTAAACTAACAACTCAACTTTGTGATAAACCTGAGGACTCAACTTTTCTATCGTCAACTCCCCTTACCTATATGAAGCAATATACCGTTATCACCTGCATATGACGTTTACGTTTCCCAGTTGATTCGATACGTAAGAGCATGTTCTACGTACAAACATTTTCTAAAACGAGGCTAGCTACTGACATATAAGTTGATGATACAGGGATATCAATGGTCCCGTATAAATTAGTCAACATTTAATTGCCTACGGATTTTTCTGTTTACCCAATCATGGCAAGGAGTTCACGACGGGTGTGACCGGTCGATAGGGGATGACTCTTCCATGGCATCTGATCCCACTTCTGATGTTTTTGGAGGCCTGTGTCTGCTCTGTTCCCAATTGTATAACTGTTCCAGTGCAAAGGACTCTGAGCTTGATTACATTTTCATATTCCATGTTATTGTAGCAATGTACCACTATCACCCGCATCTAGGATTTATGTTTCACAATTAATTAGATACATAAGAGCATGTTATTTGAACGAATAATTTCTAAAACGATGCAGGCTACTGACAAACAAGTTGGTGATGTAAGGGTATCTACAATCTCGCTTAAAGCCAACATTTTGAAAATTCTATGGTCAACATATTGACCTTGTTTGCAAATTTAATCTGTCGTTATGTCGAATGTTGAATGACATCTATCATACACATTGTTATGTCATTACGTATTTTCATACTGAACAGAATATGGATTTCTCCGTTTACCCGATCATGACAAGAGTGTAACTGATCGATAGGGGGAGCTTACTCTTCCATAAACCTGATCTCACCTCTGATGTTAACTGTTCCTAAAGCCAAATTGAGCTTCATTAACCAATTCTACATCATCAGTAAAGTTATTCAGCAGCTCGCATCACTTTTCCCATACATGTACAACTTGATAACATAAATTTGTCAATAATTTCAAGGAAGGGTGGGGTCACCCTTGTTTTTGTATATTGGTTTTACAACGTCATCAGTTAATTAGGTCATTCCTTAGGGACAATTCCAGTATCAAAAATCAGTTTTCTGTGTCCCATTTATACTGACTAGTATTGAAATTATCAAGCGATTGATCGGTTGAATGAGGTTCTATTTTCTGGCTTGTTTATAAAAAAGCGTAAACTGTCCCAAGTTATGTTATATCGTATAACAAGGGTTAAAATAAGCTTCATTCCTTATAATTTAATTTCAGTGTAGACAATAAGACAATTTTCCCTCAAAAATGGCTTCAAATTGAGCATATTTTAAAAGTAACGTCAAGCGGAGTAATACGTTTTTGACGTAACTCATTGTGACGTAGGCAACTTATGTTATACGATATATCCAATCAAATGATATGTTGCAACTAAAATTAAATTATATGTAAATGGACAAGGGGCATCATAGTATCAATAACACAAAAGCATGAATATAATTGGAAAAAAACCCAATTAGAACAAATATACACTACCGATTAAATAATTTATTATACTACTTTTAAAAGTTAGTTTTCATAAATATTTTTATGCAGAAAGTACAACGCCAGTTCCTACATGATTGTATGAGAGTTATACATGTTAGGCTTTATCACCTTGAAATGCTGTAATCTCAGTACGTATTGTAGCATATACGTTCATATTTCAAAACAATCAATCTACTTTTGATTTGTTAATTAATTTTAAAACCACCAATAACTATCAGCAATATAACTTTTATCTTAATAGAGACTTGTCAAGAATTTCAGTAAATAAATGTCTAAGATAAATACTTTATTATCTTCACTTTTCCACTTCTTCCCTCAGCTACAAAGAGTTCGGCACTCGAGCTTACGGATAAACCAAAAGGACACTCCAGAAAACTAGATAAAATGCAAAGGAACTGACCATTGCTATCAATGATATGAACACAATGGTTGTTTGGATCCGCTATCAAAATATGTCCTTTACCATCAGTAGCAATGCCGAATGGTCGAAATTCTCTCTTAGTTCCTGTCAACAGACCACGATATTGAAATTGCAGTTTTCCGGCATGGTTGACAACAACAACTGCTCCTACATCAGAGTCCGCCACACAAATGTCTCGATTTGTGTTTTCCGTTAAGTATTTCACTCGTTTACCACAGGAATAAAGAGGTTGTCCATTATCATTAAACTGGATTGTTTGTAGCAACTTTGACCCTGAAAAGCGGAGTACTTTCGCCTGAGATTTATCAGTACTGACTACAACAACTAAGAGCTCACCTGAAACTGTGATACAAATGTTCAATGGATGCCACTGTAAAAATTTAACAAGCTCCTCCTCTTTACCATTTTTCACAATATAAACAGTTTGTGATAGCCCACTGGAAAAAGCAATGTCACCATCTCTTGTGACAGCTATATCATTAGGGTATTTACATAATTTGGTATCAATTGTTTTTTGTTTTAGACCCTGAATGTCAAAGCTGTTTATATTGCTACCCTCCCCACTAACCCAAACCTCATCCTTTCGACCAACAGCACAGCTACGAAGTCTTTTGTAACCTGTATTGATAATATTGTTTAAGACAGGTTCTTGGAGAATTTCATTATCTTTGGGGTTTTGTAGCATGTATTCATCTTCTTCTTTAATATAGGATTTTGTCAAAATCCCAAATTGTTTGTAAAGGTCGTTGCTATTAATATCTTGAGGCACAAACATTGGTTTTATAGTAACGAGCTTTTGAGGCACCTTACTGTACTTTTTAGACTTTGAAATAAAATACCGTGATAGACTGTTAGAGAGAAGAATGTTTTGAGTTTCTTCTGTTGCTTCATTTATCTCCAAGATAGTACTCACAATGTCTTGTAAATTGACCCTTAAAGCTTGCAGATGTAAATCTCTCATTGATATTATTTGCTTTTTGAAGATGTCTCTGATGATATTAATTTCTCTATGCCATTCGTCTGCCTGTTTCACAACTCCTTGTATTATATCCTCATATTCTTCCATTAAAGATATCATCCTATTTTTGATATCCTTCCCAATAAAGGCATAAGTAGGGAATATAATGTTTTTCATTTTATCCAAGTCACTTTTTATAGAATCTTGTTTAGACTTAAATACTTCATACAAACTTTTGAATCCATGTCTTTTGTGTTTTTCAGAGATGATACAGCTTAAACACACTGGTATGTCACAGTCTTCACAATACATATCACATCTAGAATTGTCATGGATCTTGCAATCTGGAAACTTTGGAGATGTTTTCTTGGAGTTATATGAGACTATCTTGTGGTTGTCGTAGCCATCATAAATATGTTCTCCAATACAGGCTTTGCAGAGGTTGACATGACAAATCTCGCAGATATGCAGAACTTTAGCAGTTTCACATGCCTCACAATGCAGCACGTCTTGTCCACTATATCTTGGATCCATTTTGTTTCACACTGAAAAATAATAAAGGAGATGAAATATATACATATGTATAGAGGTATACATATATATACATGTATATACCAGATTCAGTTTTGTGGATCAGGGAGTGCGTACTCCCATAGGATTTCCTGTGTTATTAAACTGACATAGTAATTTATGCCGAAAATTAAATTACCACATCCAAGGAAAAGACTTCTTGTTATGACACGAGGAAAAGTCATGTTTACTAGTATGTATACTTGACATTCCCTCTCGAAATGCTCGTATATACTTTAAAGACATACAAAAAGGGTATGTGTTGTGATAGAATAAATTGATGAGCAATAAGAGCAATGGCGACCATTCCTAATCAATATGACAAGTACATGAGGTTGGATTATTTTTCTTATTACTTCCTGTTTATAGTTACCGGGAAATTTAAATATCTGTAGTTTTACTAATCAATGTTTAAGCTTTTGTTTTTTTTAAAACATCGTTAAGACATCCATTTATCAGTGCCATGCAGACAATATCACGAAACTTACCAGCGGTAGCACCCAAAGAGTTCCCTGTCAGCTCAGAAACGTCCATGTTGTTACACGTAGCAAATCTTTCTGGATCGATAAAAGAATTCCTGTGCTCTGTAAGTCGCTTGCATTCCGAATAAGTGACTCAAAAACTCTGAAAGCATTTAAAGCAATCTTGAAACATTTCTTTTATGTGCTGATAATTTTATTAATTAAGATTTAATCATGCATTTCAATTTTTAATAAATAAGGTATCCTTTTTAAGCAAATACGTATTGTCAGGTGTTCAAATCCCATCAAACCCGAAAGGCATTATGGTAGATTTGATCATGTACCAACTTGGGACCCTTTCACAGACGAACTTACAAATAAGACTAAAAACTTGAGTTGAATGTAAAATCCTAATTAATGATTCTGTTTAAATTTCATACATACAATATCTTTTTAATTCTTTTTAAAAAGATCTCCAGACAAGTTTTAAATCAATGTACAATAGAAAGTTATTGCCATATCTAAATTTTGGTCTTAGTCGTAAGTTCTTTTGAAAAACTGGCCCCATTATTTATATCCCGACATTGAATCCAAAATGATATCTTTTTACTTATATTTACATTTGTGCCTGATTCATAATAAATATTTAAGCACATGAAATGATTATTAAAATATGAAATTATTTTTCAAAACCTTAACGAAACCAGTTGAACACGTCGACTACTTTCCCTTATGCAACAGTAATTGAGCAATATTTTTCTTTCACTGTAGAGATACATACTGCAAAAAAATACTGTTATATAAGAGATGTTATTTACAGATTATATAAATATTATGTTTTATTTGTTTTATTCTTCTTATTGATACCATTTTAAAATTTTCATCAATTTTACTCTTCATTTGTAATTTTTTGTGTTTAAATTCATTCACTTTAGTTAAAGTGCCTTAGGGTATCTTGTTAAATTTTGTGCTATGCAATTTATTTTATTCTTATGTATATTGTAGTGAAAAAAATCTTTTTGCTAAACAAACTCTTTTTCCCCTCAATAAAGCTAAAATAAAATTTAAAAAAAAAAAAAAAGAACAACTGTCACATCTCAATCGTTAAAAAAAGTTTTCCATGAACGGTATATATTTTTCATTATGGGTAAAAATAAATGTTTATTTTACCCATGATGCAAATAATTTTACTTTAAAGTTTTATTCTAATAGTTATTACATTAAAGGTTGCAACAGTGTTGATTGTTATACCCGATTTGTCACTAGGAAATTCGTGTATATTGATATACATGCATGTTAAAAGTAAATTCCAGCCAGCATCGTGTCCTTTGAGTTGTCTTTCTTTTTACTTTTTTTCTAAAGGTACATGAGCAATTTTTTTCTTAAAAAAATGCACAGCTTGCCTTGGTGTCATTTGACAATTTTTTATAAGAAACAATTCAAGATTTTTTCCATTGATCAAAAAATCTTATTTTTGCTGTTTTTACTCTTTTTCTTGACAATGTGATCTCAAGAGAATCAATATAAAACTAAAGAGAAAAGAAATCATTGAATATTTTTCATTGGTTTGTTGTCTGATTACAGCTAGTGCAAAATTTCTATTGAATTTGATACATCTCTTATATAGGGAGACTATAAACAGCGTTACTCAAATGGGCACCCTGGTAAAGACGAGCCTTTTAACAGACGGACACAAAAATTCTACCTGTGGGACTTCATAATTGCATTGGATAATTAAAGATATTAATGTTTCATTCGCTTTCACTAATCTAGCAATAAAATATTAGAGAAAATTTTTCTTCCTAATGGACAACATGACATGAACTTGAAAATAAGAGGCCCAAGGCTCACAACACTAACCCCAATCGCGTTGATTTTTTAAATAATCTTTTGTTTTCAACTGACCCTTAGATATCTTTCTTTTTACATCATCCATTAATATAGTGAACATGAAGAATGTCAATTGCAACATAAATGATAATGAATTTTGTAACAGACTTTTAAATTGATTTATTTTATCTATTTAAGTGATAACCTAAATTTGATTAATATTTATTTTCTTTGTGCATGTAGTCCAAACGCCCAGAATATTCGCCATCGGATAAAAATGGATAAACTCTGTGATTTCACAATAAACCAAAGTAATTAGTGGGGACATTGGAATTTGGTATCTTAAAGCCTAAAATTTCTTAGATTAAACAAGCTTGAATGCAAACACAGACCCCCCTTCAAAGGAAATATGTATTTGAGGCTGAAACAGCCAACCCCTTACACTGGGGCATAGTTTCTTAAGAATTGTCTTTAGTATATGTACAGCAATAGACGCTTACAGTCTGAAAGAGATCAATATCTTCACAGGGTCAAATCAAAACAAAAAAAAAATATTTGAAATTATGTATGACATATCACCAAAATCTACTATTATCCTTTAAAAGAAATTAAAAAAAGATTTATTCTCAATTATTCTTTCAATGAAAGAAGTGAAGATAACGAACAGTGAAATCAAATCAAATCCTTCAAATGTATCAATATTTACAATCCCTGAATGGTCCACAAATTTACAATAGAACTCTTTACAAATTCTTTCCAAACTGGAAAAAATGAAATGTTCTAATAAAAACATGTTACATTCTTAATTTCCTACAGATGTTCCCCAATTGTTGCATCCATAAGTTTTAATTATAAACAAACTCTACAATACCTAGAGATTGATATAATTAAGGAATAACTGTCTTATTTTTTGGATTCATGATGTGATCAATCGAGTGGCTTGCGTGATAATTTGCATAAACGCCGAAGGCGTTTATGCATAAAATTATCACGCAAGCCAATCGATTGATCATCGTCATGAATCCAAAAAATCTGACAGTTATTCCTTATATTTACATGCTCCTGATTCTGCAAAGTCCCGTGCTAATAGCCCCGCTTCTGTCTCTATTTGTCCCGCCCCGCACGTGATTTTTTGTTAACCTCGCCTATCGATGAACCAGTAGATTTATCTAGAAATAAAGTATTTTTACAATTTGTAATTTTATCTCGGACAAAGACATTGGAAATGTAAATATAATAAAATAAAATAAAATCCTCCAAAGTGTTTTGTTCTTCCTCTTCTTTCAACTATAGTCCAGCTGGACATATCATTATTGGTAATGAAAGTATAGTTCAAAAAGATGACATAAAAACAATCATTTTAATTAAAAGGTCCTAAATTCAGGAAGCCCAGATCTTTAAAATGGCAACAGAACCTCATTTCTATTATGAATTCCTTCAAGGAGTATTCTAGATGATGGTCTAAGTATGAAGACCTTGATACTCTGTCAGAATGGATAAAGCGTTTTATAAATATATTTAAGATTCACATTAGCAATTTAAAGGGCAAAATGCGAACAATCTGTAATGGTTATTGGAAACTGAAAACGCAAAGAAGACCCAGATGTAAGGTTAGAATGGAATAACCTGTCCTCCCTTAAGCTTAAAGTAGACTAGTCCAAAGGGTATATATAAGACTGCATTGAGAGATTCAGGGTCTTTTGTGGAATGCAGAGCTGCAGTTAAGTGGAAGCAGGAGAAATTTGGGTAAGAATAACGGATAAGAGAAAGGGTAAAATAAAAGAAATAGGTTTGCACCAGTGACAAGAATCTCGGGGAATTGAGGCGAGATACTGGGGGCTGTAGATCTGAATAAGAACGAAACTCCTAGTGTCCGCTATCAATAGGAACCTGGGGCAAGGTACACGGTGTTAAGTCTAACAGTTACCAAGTCATAAGAATTCATCCCACATTATATATTCTTTGATTAAATATAATAGAAAAACCCAGATAGGTTTAAGAAAAATTATTATACTGTACATAGTCAAATTATTAGATCATAAACTCAGGTAGAGTAAGAGAAAAATTCATCCCCTGAGAACCCTACGCAGGGGTACACGTTACAAATCTATCCTTCCGTTTTCTGTAGACAGAAAGTGATATATGAATTAGAAAGACTACATGAAAAACATATTTTGGTTGTTGCTGAGAAAGCTTGTAACAATATAGTCTTTGTTTATAAGGCTTATTATTACAACCACAGTTTTAAAAGAACTGAGTTTTGATTCCACATCTGTAATCCACCCTTTACTCACATTCCGTTTAAAAAGATGAAATTCTTCAAAATCACTTTTCAGTTTTAACTACTTTTTTTCCCTTCCAGTCAATGGAAGTGTGTTTGATTAACCGTACCTATACTGGATTCCAAAACTTCATAAAAATTCTTACAAACAAAGATATATTACAGGATCCAGTAAATGTTCAACCAAGCCCCTGTCCCTACCTCTCACTAAAATATTAGCTGCTGAGAAGGAGAACTTCAGACTATTGTGCCATAGCATATTCTAGAAGTGATGTAAATGAAAGGTGGATTCTAGACAACTCCTAAGAACTTTTAGAAACTTTAAAATCTCAAAACTTTTTAACAATCTATAGCATCAAAACAAATGAATTTTTCACGCTTGTTAAAACCAT